TAATCATCCCTTATAGAACTTTGACAAACAGTGGTTACTCTGCCAGCTAGTTGCAGGTTCTTAGACCAACTGCCACTCTTAAAATAGAGGACAGGTTTCCCCAGCATCTCTTTAGTGAATCCCCATTCAAGCCAATGGCTGATGGAATGTTGACCAGAGAGACAGCTGGATTCCTTTCTGAAGATCAATCTCTGCTTGTGTGAGCCAAAAGAAACTGAGAAAAAGTGAGGGGTCATGGCTAAGGCTACACTCTGGAGGATACCCAAAAGTCCCTCAGTGGAAACTGGCTCCTAACCACTGAAAAATCTCCACTGACATATTGTACTTAAATTCTAAGAATTCTCCGTAAGTTTCTCAGTTGAATCACTTAACTATCCCTCCCTTCAGAAACTAGGCTGAGGCAGCTTGCAACAATTTACATTTCACAATGGCTAGCATGGAAATCATTCACATTTGTGCCTTACATATGCAAACTAAGATTAAAAAAGAGATTCTTGTCAGCCTTAACCAATGTGCCTTTACCAATATTGAAATGTGACTGCTACGTGATAGATATGTTTAACCTGTGAGCTTTAAAATTTAAATAAAACATAGTCTTGTCCTGCTGCTAGAAAGTGTTGTCTTGGTAATTAGATGAATTACGCAAGTGCCTTGAAGATTTCTTTGCCCTAGAGCCCAGGGTGAATGTCCTCAGGTCAATTGTCTCTTTTATCTATCTCCAGAGGTGATCTCTTTCACAGCAAAGCAGGAAAAGTGCTCTGACCCTGATAAGCATACCTTTATGTATATATATGCCCTTTCACAAAAAAGCAATAGTTTATTGCAAAGTTATGTGTCCTTCTTTTTACATTCCTGTCACCAGGTCAATTGTACCTTATGCTTATAAATGTCCAATAGAAGTAAGTGCACAGTTCATGAGCTTTCTGGGAAGATAAAACTGCACACGAGTTCAAGGGCGGGTAGGCCGGTCAGATGCTGTTTTCTGCTCTCTCCAGATGGCATCCACCTGCTCTGGAGTGGAATATACTTGAGGGATGCCTTGAGGGTACAAAGATCAATCAGACACAGGTAAGTGATGCTCAAACTGTTTCTTTGTGTATTTCAGACATGCGCTATTCACAGTCAAAGTTTCTTACTCCTTTAGAGTGCATCATTAAACACTGGAAGATGTTCGACCCTTACATGTTGAAAAAGAGCCATTTAATATTTTTCTGCACATATGTGTGTGGCCTACCTACCCCCTAGAGCCAAAATTGAATGCAGAGGAAAGAATTAACTGTGATGGTATCTTACAACTAGAAAGATATTTAAAAATGAAGGAAATGAGCAGAAATGCCTTATGTTCAGATTTTCTTTGCATTACAAAATAGTGTTTATTTAGTTTCAAGATGTAGATATGCATCACAGGAAAATGAGACACCTCAAGCTCTTAAGGTACCCACTATCCTGGAACCTAAGACTGCTCCTCCCCAACATTGGGGGCCTGAAAACAAGACAGCCTTAATTAAAGCCTCATCCACCTTTACTGAATCTGAGGTCTCCCCTACTTACCCTTCTAGAAGGTGGGGCTTCTAGACCAGCTGTATCCCAGACTTTAAAGGCTATACTATCCTTAGCTGAGTTTATGTAGACTCCTAAAGGACAATATTCTTTACAAGAAGTAAATGGACAATTTGGAACTTCCAGACTTCATGTGCCCTTTTCTCTCAGTGACCTAAAACAGTTAGATCTTGGAAAGTGTTTAGATGACCCTGATAAGTACATTGATGTTTTTAGAGGGCTCACTCAGACCTAGAAGCTAGATTAGAAAGAGGTAATGTTACTCTTAAATCAAACATTGACCACTAATGAAAGATAGGCAGCATAACCAGCTGCTATTGTATTTTGATATAAATATAATATTATTAATTTTAGAAGGCTAGAATGTAGACATCCAGGGGAACTGCCAGGTCCCACTAGAGCCTAAGCAGTCCCTACCCAAGATCCCTGCAGCCTATCATCTGGACAGAATATTAGAGCAAGGAACATTTTCAAGTGTGTATTCTTGAAGGTGTAAGAAGGACTAAAACCAAGCCTTCCAGTTATTTTCAATTTTCAGCTATTTATCAGAAAAAAGGAACACTCCTCAACTTTCTTGGACCACTTATAAGAGGCATTGATAAAACATACGTACCTAGATCCTATTTCAGTAGGGGAACAAATTATTCTTAAAGATAAGTTCATTACACAGTCAGCCCCAGATACTAGGAAAAAGCTACAAAAGTTAGATTTTCCTCTGGATAGCTCACTTGATCCATTAGTAAAAACTGCCTCCTTAGTACTCTATAATCAGAACTGTGAGAAAATCAGGGACAGAAAGCAAATATACGAAAAAGTGACTGCCTTAGTTGCAGCTCCCAAAAAACAGACCCTAAGTCTGATTCTCTGGGCTCCAAGAAGAGCTCACTGACTAAGTTCATCTGTTACTGCTATCAAAAGCCAAATCATCTTAAGAGGGACTAGCTTTCAGAAGGCCCCAAGCCATGCCCTGACTGCCAAGGTAGCCACTGGTAGTGTAGAGACAGGCACTTCCTCTTCAAACCTGAGCTCAAACAAAAGATTAAACAAATGCACCGACATACCTCCGTAGGGATGGAGATCAAGGCTTGATAGTCTAAATAGGTAGCACTTACCTTGAAAAGTCACTAATCTAACCCTTAACAGGAAAAGCCCCTGTTCTGTATTCCTGCCCACCTGCTATGTGACTCACTTCCTCATTTGATCCCAATTAAATCAATTTTACCTGAATAAATATACTTGCAATCTTACTGGCTGACCATCGTTTTGTCCCATTTCATGCCCACCTTATGATTTCCCATTTTCCCCTACCTTGGACCCACCTCACCTCGTGATTTTGCTCTATAAATGTTCCTAGAAAAGACAGGTTCTTGGACAACCCACTTGGGCTCCATTCTGTCCCGCTCGGACAGAAATTTTCATTCCTTCAATAAATATATTCTGCTTTTAATATAATCAAAGCAAAGGAAAACATGTTTTTTTTTTCCCATACTCAATTTTATGAGGTAAAAGAAAATGATAAAATATTGCCTTGGTTACTTTTCTCTCACTGCTGAGACAAACTATCTGACACACAAATTGAAGGAAGGAAAGGTTTATTCAGCTCAGTTTGTGGAGATTTCAGTCCGTACTTGGCTGACTCCAAGGCAGTGTGGTATATGACTGAGGGCAACAGTTCATGGCGGCAGAAAACAGTAAAAGCAATAAGAGCAAAAAGGGAGGAGCAGCAGCAAGTAGCCTCTTTCCCTCTCTTATATTGTGTGCAAACTGCCCACCCCAGAGCGTATATAGCACTCACACCCATAATCCTGACATTGGACCATGAATCAATCATAAACTCTAGAAGCCTGCCCCATGACTGCATGAGGCTTTTGGGAGACATCCAGGAACAAACCGTAACAAATACTGATTGCCAGAAACTATGTTTAGAAATATGTGTTTACATAAGTTATACATTATCATGTCATAATATGCATACATATATATTTCATAAAATGAAATATGGACTACTAAAATATTCAATTGGATGTTAGTTTAAAAATGTAGTACTTTTCAATTTAAAATGGTAAAAACTTAATGAGAGTTACTAATGAATTCTAATGAATTACTTCTTCTGGAGCCAGAAATTTGCAATGAAAAATGTTATATGGAATATATTAAAAGAAACATTTCCCTGCGCAGGTCATTACCTGCCATAGGAGTTTACTTTTCTGTAATGAAATAAAATCACACTTACAAATTTTCTGCCAAGCAGCAATTGATAATTTGTTGTAGCATAGCTCTCTGTATAGCAGCAATTGTTTGTAATTTGAGATGGCACATTCTTCCTACATCAAATGTTATTTAAATAGACATTGTGGTGGATTAACTAATTGTTAACATGTAATACCCAGCTGAGTTGAATCAGTGTGGTGCTGGGTGTGGATGACCCACTTGAGGAATGTTGCCAACAACATAAATAGAGAACTGGAGGGGAAGATGTTGTGCTGTTGATTCTCCTGGAAAAGCTGGTCATGCTGAATTTCCTGATACCAACTCTGCTCTTATTATCAGAGCAGCTCAGGTCTTCACTATCACTGAGTATGGCTGTTGTTCTCTTTGGGGGAGCTTTTGTCCTTACCTTGAGCATCACTTCCTGGCTTCGATGCAGATCCCTCAGCCTGCTGGCACAGACCCTCACCCTGCTGGCACACACTTCCTAGCTTCCACCACTGACCTTTGGGCCTTCCCAGTGTAGTACCTCGATACAGCCTTCATGAGACATTGTCATGGGCTCTAGGCTGCAGGTGGACTCTTAGAGGTCATTGCCATGGGCTCTAGGTCTTCAGTTAGACTTGTGAAAGATATTGTTATGGGATTCAGTCCCTTACAGAATTCTTGCGGTGTCTAGTGTTTGGACAGATCTCTAACACTCTTTTGCATTTGACTCTTTGGGTATATTACAAAATAATCCCATATATTTTATGTCCGGTATTAAATCTTTTCCCTTCTAAACCCTCACTACAACAGATATTTTGCTTTGTTACCAAAGAATATGAAACATTCAAATTATTTTGGAAAAATATTATTAAAATCATATGCAATAATTTAGGTTTAAAGCCTGAATGTGAAGGAAATGTCCTGAATTATAGTCTTTTGTAAGAGAGATATTTGTGATATTCTTTTTGTCTTTTATCTCATATCATTTTCATAATCATAAAAGCACATGCATGTAGATACACCTGTGTACATGCATATACACTAAAAACTAATGTGAAGTAAGATAACATGAAATAAATAGTTACTAAATAATCAGGTAAAATAAATAAATAATTAACTGAATCTTTCATTACAAGATTTTGGAGGCTATCTGAACACATCCACAGTAAAATGAAACTACTGTGTTTCCCCTTAAATTTTGTACTTCACAATCTCTTTATGATGTCATACCTCTACATCACCGGTGTGAACATAGTATGCTGAACTTCTGGCAAACTGTAAGCAGAGGAAATGTCTCTTCCATGGTTGTAAGTCCTCTTTACAGTACTTTTTAGTATTTCTAATGACTATTACGCTCAATTCAGCTATATATTTACATATTTTAAATATATATGTAATGTCCATCATATATTAGATAATTTTTTTGTGGTTTAGACAATTCATGCTGTTCCACAATATACTGTAGCTGTGTGATCTTCACTATTTTATATTTCTGAGACTCAACATTTATATAATCATATCTAAGTTTAAAAATTATGAAAAATGTATATGACACTACAGATGTAAAGCAGATTGCTATAGTAAGATTTTAGTATACTATAAAATGTTGGAATACTTAATTTTATGCATAACAAAAGTTAGAACATTGTATTTTTCTGATAAGAAGACTTATATCCAATCAAAATGAGTGAAATTGGTTTTGGTTTTGTTTTTGTTTTTGATTTTTTGATTTTTTGGGGTTTTTTTTGTTTCTTGTTGTTGTTGTTGTTGTTTTCCAGTACCAGAAATCGAACTCACGATGTTGTGCTTGCCCAGGCAGGCACTGTGCCTCTGAGCTAAATCCCCAGCCTCCCAATTGATTCATTTTTTTATAGGATCCATTATGTTGAAAATAATGTCAGCAACAATATTTTTAGAGTCTTTAGTGGTTACATGCTTCACTATTGCTTTTTAAGAGCCAATCTTATCTTAAAATACTGTTGAAAATATTACTAAATAGCATAACATAACTATATTGACTTTCAACTACCAGCCAATACTAATGTATACTGCTTATTAATATGAAATTGCCATAATTCAACAATTTTACCTACAAAAATGACATTTATCATCATATTACCTAATAAAATGTTACAAAAAATAAGAAACATGAAATTAATGTTTCATGGAAACAGCTGAATGACATATAGTGTTTTATAAGAAAAACGTGAATGTGCATGACCTGAAAATTAGAATGAAAATTTAGAAAAGTTAACATTCTGAAATGCAAATTCTAAAAAGTTACTACAAAGAATAGTATGATTTCTTAACTTTTAAAATAATGTTTCTTTAAATGTGCTTTTTTCAGTGAGTGTGTGTTACATTTCAAAACAATAAATGTACAGTTGTTTCAGAGTAAAAGAATGAATTTTACCTATAAGTTAAAATGAACTTCCCCAAAATGAACTTCTCAAATCACTTGTTCATAATTGCATTTCTAGCTTGATGCTGCCTATATATTTCATCCCAAAGGCCTCAGAGTTATGTCCACCATTACATGGTAATGCTTTGACTTCAATGTCATCAGCAAAACCCTTCGTAGCCTTCTATCTGAACAATACTCCAATCTTCTTTCTCTACCTAAATCATGCTCTATCTCAAAATATTCTGATTTTGTAGCCTTCTACATTGTGTCCCATTTTCCTTCCCATATTTCCTCCTTCCTCTAGACCTAGAAGTGCAGTAGGTGTTTGGTTTTTTCCCTCAATGCCACCTCCAGGTCATTCTCTTGCACTGCTTTATAAAATAATCTTAAATATAAGATTTAATTTTATATCATCACATTTGTTTTGTCTTTTTGAGACAGGGTCTCGCTATGCAGTTCAGGCTGGCCTTGAGCTCACTTTGTAGCCCAGGATGGGCTCAAACATAACATGATCCTCCTGCCTCAGCTGCCTGAGTGCTGGGATTCCAGGGGTGTGCCACCACACCCAGCTCTATCATTGTATTTTATCACCTATTACTTTTTCTTTAATTTACCCATTAATTCTCAGATAATTTTCATTTGCCATTGTTTTCTCTTTGTCTTGCTATCATTTCATGCACTAGTGCATTTCTTTAATTGCTGATGACTTTACCACATGTATAATCATTCTCCTATCTAACATTTAAAAACTTTGATCTCTTTTTCAGTTGAATTGTCTTAGTCCTGCTTTAGTACTTGATTTAAATACATTCCTCACCATCTCAATTTCAAACAGTCCACTATTTAACTACTACTGCAGATACCTTTAGCACCACTACTCTAACATTTTTTCCACCCTTCACCACAGTAAAACCAATAATTAATTCTACCACCTTTTCATTGTCACAGGAATCCCTTACTCATGGCTTTGCTTGTATTTTTATCTTAGATTCTTAATGATTCATGGTGTATCTGCAAAAATACCCCCACATACTTCCTGTTACATCAATGTTCTTTTTCTCGTCTTTGCCAAAAAAAGAATTAAGTAAATCTAACTCTCCTGTTACTGTACACTTGTAATTTTACAAGAAGAGTCTTGGAATAATATGCATGTAACAAAGACGATTAGTTTCAGATTAAATCTATGATGATAAATATGGTATCTTAATGTTTCAATAGTTTTACATTTCTATATTCTGTTCAATATTCTTTTAGTTTCAAAGATGAGTATGCATGCTTTTTTCTCTTCTCAAATCTGAATTTTTTCCCCTTCTCACCTAAGAAAGGCAAATATGGAAAAATGAGTATTTCACAAGTGAATACACTAGTCCATGTCTATCTTCACCTCTTTTGCATGCCTTATTCCTGTTATGCACATGACCTCTTCTTTTTGATATCTTAGTTTAACTCTTATAATTGGGCATATTCATTTCCAAGAACTAACATAACAAACAACCACAAGCTGAGTGATTTCAAACATCGTAAGTTTATTATTAAATAGTTGCAGAGAAGAATTCCAAAATGAGGTTGTGGACAAGAAATTTTTCCTCTCGAGTCTCAGAGAAGTATATGTTCTATGTGTCTCCACTGTATATTCTGGAAGTTTCTTGCAAGTTTATCATCATTTGGCTTAGAGTTGCACCATTTCAATCTCTTCCTCCACTGTCATATTTCATTCTCTCTTAGTCTGTCTTCCATATTCAAATATCCCTCCTTTTATAAGGTGCTACTAATTGGATTAGGGAAAAACATAAGGCCAGTATGACCTCTTATTAAATTGATAACAGGGGCTGGGGATTTAGCTCAGCGGCAAAGCGCCTGCCTGGCAAGCGCAAGGTCGTGAGTTCGGTTCCCGGCACCAGAGAAAAACCAAAATAAATAAATAAATAAATTGATAACAGTTTTAAAGATTTAAAGACCCTATTTCCAAATAAGACCACATTCACTGATATAAGAACATGGATAAATCCTTTCTAGGGATACAATTAAACTCAAAGCCTGGATCATTTTATTTTTTCACTGCTTAAGAACCTAGCCATTACAAGCAACTCCCATTCTTCTATTATCAATTTTTCTTATATCACTATGCAATAACTACTCTCAGTGTATTTATTCCTGTTGTTAGAAAAATTAAAAATATCTTTCCCTCTACATACTTATGCATTTTGTCAACTTTTGCAGCAAAACTCTTTGAAAAAATTACCTATATTTGTTACCTCATCTCTCTTTACTCTTATTAACATCTAATAAAGCTAAATATTAAATAAAGTTTAATACAGGCATAAATCAGTTACTTTAAGGACAACACAAGTGAAAAAAGTTACTCAGTAATCCACAGCAGATCATTATACCACCTCCTTTAAAATACTTTTTCCTCTCTGAAACCTATTTTAGATGTTTGTCCTTAGCATTCCATGGAAACTAAGTTCACTAAATATATACAACCATATATATAAATACATATATATATGTATCTCCATAAACCTACTAGCAAAATTTCGTATAATTGATCCCTTTAATAAAATAGTCCTCTCTTGTTCATTATATCACTAAACATTTTGGGTTTCTCTTCTACTTTATTAGCTATTCCTTCTCAGCTTCTGTCACTGGGTCTCATTCCCATGTTCAGTCTTAGTTTGGAGAAGCTAACAGATTCAGTCATTGGACCGGACCACTTCTTTCTTATGTATAAATATTCTATATACATTATCATTCAGACATTTTGTATGCCTCTTCTATGATGTTGAATTACTGGGAGATGAGATGAAGAGAAATGGAAACAAAGTAGAAAGGAACAAGGGACAATATGTATATATACCAATTCTCTGTGATGAATATGTGTACTGTATACTGTGAACATATATACTAATTAAAATTCTACAAAGACAAATTTATTTCTTTCATACCAGGAATAGAGCTCAGAACCTTACATGTGCCAGACAGGTGCTGTGTTGCTGAGGTATATCCGTGGCCAAAAGTAAATTTATGTCTCTCCAGTTCTCTCCATTAATTTCCAGATTCATATATACAATTGGTTTTTTTTGAAATTTCCACTTTAATATCTAAATAAATTCAATATTTTTATGTACAAAGAAAGTTATCATATCTACTCCATCAAAGTCTGACGACTCAATAGTATTCTGTATTTCAGAAAATGGCATCACTATTCATTAATCTGTCTAACACACACACACACACACACACACACACACACACACACACTTACCAACATTTCTTTTATGTAAACTTGATTGCTCCTTTCCTAAAAATCTATGTGCAGAGTGGGGTGTTTGGAAGTTGATTGGATCTCAGGGATGTTACATTCATCTGTGAATGAGTCTATTCACAAATTCGTTGTTGGACTTGTTGTTAAGAAGTGGGTCCCATTTGGAAGGGGTAAGTAATTGGTCGTGTTACCTTGAAGGGTGTGTTCTTATCCCCTGCTCCTACCTACTCCTGATCCCTGACTGCACTGAGTTGAACTGCCATGGAGCTACTCAACTATGCATGGACTTAAACTTCTAAAACAATAAATCAAATTCAATTTCTCTCTGTAAGTTTTCTGAGTCAGGTATTTTGTCCAAACTATGTAAAATAACTAAGGCACTATCATTATGATGACATTCTCATAAAACATTATGTCATTTTGTTACCTTGTATATTATGCTCTTATTACGTTAGTGACACATAACTGTAAACTTAGTAATTATAATTAGAGACATTGATGCTTATTATAGTTTTACAGAGGAAATAAGTCCAAATCTAACTATTTTGAGCTACAAACATGTGTCAGCATTTATCAGAGAAAAAGCTGTTCATTAACTATTCTAGCTTCTGATAGCTATCAAAATTCCATGACTTTGT